TGACTAAATATTTCTGAAAAGGTGGTGGTAGAAGTGGACCCATCGAATGGACACCAAGGTCACCGGACCTCAATCCACTAGATTATTTTCCGTGGGGCCATTTAAAAAGTTTATAAAACCAAACCGGAAAACATTGTTGAATTAAAAGAGAGAATTAGAATAGAAATAAAAAATATTTCTCAGGAAACTATGAACAACACTTCAGCAACACTTCATTCATCGTTTAGGATACTGTCAGCTATAACAAGGAGTACAGTTCAAACATTTACTATAAATTGTTTTATTATTAACTATCCGTTAGTTTTAGTGACTATTATTTGTTCAAACATAACATGAAAAATTAATAAATTCTTATAATCAAAATGGCCGTATCTCTCAACTTATCAACTTTAGACACTAAGTGTGATACATTTTTGGAATCAGCTGTAGATTTAGAATCCTAAAACGGAGAAATATACAGGGTGTTCTATTTAAAAAAAATTAGATGACATTATAACGGAAACAGTGATAACGTCAAACAAAAAAAAAAGTAAAGGATAAAATGCGCAATTGAAATTTCATTTCAATGTGTCCGAGAATTTTTTCTGGATATTTTTGGTTTAAGAAATAATGAATCTATTCCATATTTTACGGACACACTGATATCGTGGCCTGTACGTTTTCCCGATTTGAATCCGTTCGATTACTTCTTATGGGGATATTATAAAGTTTACGAAGCTCCTGTGGGCGATGTCACTCAATTCGTCAATGCGTGCGAAAGAATCAGAAACACACCACAAATATTGGAACGCGTCCTGCAATCTGTGATGCGTCGAATCAATTGTTGAAATGGTAATGGACAACAAATGATAATGGACAACATTTTGAACGTCATCTTTAAATTTGCTTCCTTCCTATTAGTTTATTAATGTTGATTGTTTTAGAGATCTACTTAAAATTTCCAGTGAAATATAATTAGGCGTGTGCCACAATAGGCCTGCTGATGGTCGCAGTGGACGGTCCATAAGGACCCACTCACAAGAATCTAACATAAACTAACCTTACCTAACCTAACATAAGAACATGTTATGTAAGTATATTATTTGAGAAAATTTTATCTTTCATATTTGAGCAACTATTTTAATTATTTCTTCGAAATCGATGGGTTTCTCGAAATCAAACTAGGAGACAGAAAATGATTATTTTGAATCCATATTTAAAATCACATTTTTTTCTGATTTGTTTATGTTGTGATAAAAAGTTCTGTGAGATGCATATACCCTTGAAAAGCATGTTCCTCAAACTTGATTTAGGAAAAATATATTCAGTATGCAGCTTTCATTGAGGATAACTGCATACTAAACTTGGGATATCTAGCTCAAAGCTATCAAAAGTTACTGAAGACAAACTGCATTTTGGAGATTATCTTCAACTGCTTGTAACTCTTCAGGAAAGTCTGGTCGCACGCATGTTTATAGGATATTCTCGTTTTATTTTTGAACGCAGATTATGCTCATTTTCTAGCGGACAGAAATTTGCGGACACCTTGTGTAATGTTTGAAATATTTATTGTGCATCAAATAATAAATTATTTAAGTAGTATTAGAGGACACGAAATGACAAGGAAAGCGCTGATAACTTTATACGTTATCCACTTTTTCCAAGTAAAGCCTCTAGTGTTAAAAGCTGACAGTGTGTCTTCGCTTGTAAAAACGTGGAAACCACAGAGAGCAATAGCCTTTCCCCAATTTTTTTGCTATGAGTATGATTTGGTAGGTATCGTTTTTTTTTCGGTCTGTCAAATAAGATGCAAAATTCAATCAGTCTAGGTTGTGGTAGAATAATATTATCAAGATAATTACCTCTGTATGTATCATACACAACTAGACATTAGTTTAAAGAAAAATATCTTTTTTTCTATTTTATTATCGAAATTAATCATAAAAATTATACAATATTGTGCTGCGCATATTTTAATATTGCACACTCTCCCGATACAACGATTACTTTTAAGTAAGTTAGAAGAACGATTTTTTAATCCTAAGGAATAGTTTTAGTGGTGTCCCTTCTGAAAAGTGTCTCATATATATCACCTATAACTACTGTGCAAAAGATTATCCCAAAAATACCACATACATTAGTCTCCTACAAACATATCTTACTATAAAAGATCATCGCAAAATTAAAGATCTGTTTAATGTTAACTAATGACAATTATTTCTAGTTTTCAGATACATATAGTCTGCCAACAACCGCTAACATTAGCTGCGTTTATGAACATTGCAGTGCTGTTAAACGAGGATGTATTAAAACCTCGCAAATGATAGTCCATAAAACTTTTGTTCTACTATAAATCAAATAATAGCTATAACATGCCTCCTCTCTGTTTTATGTGTAGATGAACCGCTCTCCAAATTAATTATCCATTGATGGTGTATAATATAGCTTATTCTATAACACAGAAGATGTATAGAATAAGAAAATATTATGTATGTAAACCATAAAATAAAACTACAGCCTCGATCCTAGTGATTCTATTAAATTCTAATAGTTGGGTAAAAGTTAATTTTTAACATTTATAACTATAAATGTTAAAATTTAATAGATCGTCTCAATAATATTCTATTAAATTTAACTCATCGAATTTTAGGTTCAAAAACCGACCTAATGAAATTGTCCTTTAAACAAGCAAGGCAGCGACCGACAAAGATCCTCTGCCCGTACGGTATTAATAATATAAGCTGTACGCAAAAAATCTGACGATTAATGCAGAAAGCAAACCACTTGACATGTGCTTTGTATATTCATAGAGGCAATTTGACTCGCAGCACTTTGACTCTTGACTTTGCAGACCAAAATGACGGCCATTTTCTAAAAGTTGCATAAAATCTAAAAAAGAAAAATAAAATAATATATCTGACTATTTTTGAATCGTATGTAAAGGATTTAAAGTTAGCAAATACAATAAATATATTTCTCTGGCGGCCATTTTAAATTTTCTACTTTTTTCTTACTTTTTTTTAAATCTTGTAGTGATAATGAGGGGTATCGTTTGTTTAAGTATAATTTGAGGATGCTGATCCTAATGGTGATGTCAAAGAAATGAATTTCTAAAGGAATCACAAAAATAATACAATTTTAAGGTTTAGAAAAATGACTTTTATTGACCAAATAAAAAAAAATTAATCACAGTTTTCTTGTCATCGTTAGTATACTTTGTTGCTGCAACAAAAAAACCTTGGATTTATTTTCCCCTAAGACTATTGCAACATCATGAGCAGCTATCTATTATTTTTTCCACTGCCATAAAGATTCCACAAACCTAAAGCACGCAGGCAGTAAAAAATGCAGTACAACAATATCTGTATCTGCACACCGAATGACTACATTTTAAGCGCCATGCTTAACTGCGTCCTTGGCATGTAGTATTATTCGTATATGTGCCGTCTCCGTAAAATCACAGGAAATATTATTAGGAGAAGACAAACATTCAGTAGATGCACGAACTACAGTATCAATATTTGTCTATCTTTAAACCTCCATCGCCATTTAAGAGTTCTGAGGCAAGGTAGTGAAATAACTCCCTATTGTTTAGGTTTTGTTTCAAATAATTGTCCTTAGGGAGGACACCTGTAAAAGCAATAAAAAATAATGAATATTTGCCTGAACATATTAGCCTAGGTATTAAAAATTGGATGGCAGAAATCTGTAAGGATAGGACTCATACCTTTTGTTAGTAAATCCTGGCGACATATTCCAACTCCTCCTGAAGATCTAGTTTCCGCTTTAATGCTGTTTTCTTTGTAGATATCCCACGCTATATCTAAGGTGTTGAACGAAAGCCGTTAGCAACGCTATTGACATAGTTCTTGATTAGGCCAAAATATTCTTTAAAAGTCACCATACTTGAATGTCGCTTTAAAAGATGTATGTACCACCATACCTCCATCAAATATCACTACATCGGAGACACTTGGCTTTTTGCAAGGGTCACAAATTCCTTCCAGAACTGCTACTAGAGGTGCCTTCGCCCCTTGGCGCATTTCTGCTCCAATTAGCAAAAATGGAAAAAGCTGGTTTTCATGTTCAAAGAAAGCATCAACATCCAGAAAATGAGCTAAATTGATTATAAACAGCCAAAGAAAAGTTTGGGAGATTTTTCTGAAAGGTGTTTAATTATTAAATCTATTCTGTTCCGACCAATGTAAAGCACACTTTTTGTGCCATTTTGCTTTATTTTCTTGAAGGGTTATTTGTATTCCTCTTTCATCAACTAAATCTGAAATCGGATGATTAGTAGCCAAAACACATCTATAGTCCGTAAGTCTGCTTAAGTAAGTGATAATGATTCATAACCTTTATTTCTTATAACTATGCTGGGATTATTTGAGGACAACATTTGCTCCAAACAATACATTCTGGATCAAGCACAGACTCGTAAAAATTGCTAGCACTGCTGATCTAACCTTTAGTTTAGTTTTTTAACTTTTCATACTGCACCAAAACACTAAAATAGATGGATTTGTATAAATGGATTATCAACTCCCCTTGCTATTTTATTCCTAAGTTAGGAACTAATAAAAATCACAAAAAAACTAACGTTTAGCATCAACGGTTACACTTTAATATAATATTATTCACAAAACGCAAAGCTCAAATCTAACAAACATTACACGTGTTACTGCGTGCTGTGTCAAATGCTTGAGCCTATAACGGCGGCAGCGGTGTAACCTCACGCGTGCTTGGCCAGGGGAAGTGGTGGGGGTGTTTATTTCCCTTTCAGCTTTACCAGAGTCAAGAAAGCAAAAATTTAGATGATTACGATTATGTGAAATCAAATTACGCATGAAGTTTAATCTATACCTAAAAATCAGTCAATTACAATGGCTACCATGGGAGTTTAATAAGTCGACTTCACAGGTAATACAACCTCCTGTATCCCTGAAGGTACCTCAAGATACTTTGTGTGGGACACCCACCCAATGTCCGAGTATGCTAGGATTAATTTATGGTTTAGAAAAAAGTCTTAGCCCTCGACCGGGGATCAAACCCGGGGCTCCAGCGTGAGAGGCAAGTGTCCTTACCATTCAACCATAAAACCACACTTACAACACTATAGACGTTGGCATTCTACTCCACTTCATAAAAATAAGTTGTATTGTACCCAAATTATAGCACAATTTTCAGATTAAAAAAGTATGTTTTTTTGAACAAATTGGCCACCATTTTCGATTTATATGGCCAAAAACCAAAGTGCTGCGGATTAATTTAATACAATGAATGCACACAAATCGCATGCCAATTTTTTTGCTTTCTGCATTAACCGTCAGATTTGGTCGATTATTTCAATGTGCTGCTTATACTATAAGTTATTCCCAATTTAATCCAACAAAGTAACAAAACATAATTTATTACATTATATTTTAACAATGTTGCAAATTATATTAATAATTTAGTTACACTTATACAATAATAATATAAAAGGTGGGAAATATAAATGAATAATGAAATGACTGTACCTTTTTAATATTGCCTATGTGAAGAAATGGCCTGAATTAAGGTTTGAAAATATAGCATATACACAAACTCATGAGACTTTAATTGTTATTTTTTAATTCATAATTCTACAAAATACATAAATAGGGTAACTTAAATTTACAACACAATATCAAAATGGTATATACAGCCTGGACATGTGGTATATCTTGAAAACTTCTTAAGCAGTTCTCCAGGGTTGTGCTCCACCTAAGATCTTTTTTAAGCATTCCTGTATTCTTTATTTTTGAGATGTCCCAATAGAATGAAATCGAGGAGTGTTAGATCAGGGGACCTGGAAAGCCATTCTACGGAAACACTTGATTTAAATATTCCTTCACTAGAACCCCACAGTGATGAAGGGGGCATTATCTTGCTGAAAACTTTCACGGATGCTGCGTGTATCAGTTCCATCCAGTATTGATTATTTTCGACGAAATTGACGCAGTTGCAATCTTTTCCAAATATCAGATATATTTCATACGGCAGAACGAATTTTCAATGAGAGACATCTTGAAAGTCAAATCTGTAGGAAATATAATAGGTGGATCAGACGTCTTCATCAAATGCAATGACCTTCTCATTCGCTAGATTTGACACCTTTGGACTTCTTCTGGTGGAATTACTTTAAATCCAAAGTGTTCATTACTCAACCAGAGATTCTTTTGGATTTTCGATAGACAATCACAAGTTTACAAATTTCAATCAACTGTTGGACCCGAGCAGATGGGAACAATACTTTGATGCACTGAAACAGAATCTTTAATGCATTTGTCAAGATTGGTTCTAGTTTTCGAGTTTTCGTATGTTGGCAGCATTGCGCTGTCAATGACATCAACGGTTTATTTGATGTGATGAATACACCGTATGATCGAAATGAATGGCGTTTGTTCATCGATGGTTCGAAATACAGTCTAAAGGCTGCTCTACTCCACAATGGAAATGAAAAACCATCTATTCCAATTGCTCATGAAGTACAAACGAAGGAATGCTACGACACAATGCGTAAGATCTTGGCCAAGATCAACTACAATGAGCATCAAAATTGTGTTTGAAAATTAATTCTAATTAAATCTGAAACATTAATTGCTTATATATTATTCCAACAGGTGATTGGTCTCTTCATTAAGATACAATCCAGATTCACCAAATTTTGCTTTTTTTGTACTTATGGGAAAGCCGTGCAACTGACCATCATTATGTGAGAAAGATTGGCCAAGTCGTACTTATTATGAGCCAGGACAACAAAACGTCTTCTCTGCACCACTTGTGAACCCACAGGACATTTTCCTGCCACCTCTTCACATCAAACTTGTCCTTATCAAGAGTTTCGTCAAAGCGCTCAACCGTGAAGAACCGGTTTTTCAGTATTTAATCAAGTTGTTTCCCAAATTGTTATACGCAAAAATCAAAGAAGGAATATTTGTCGGATTTGATATTCGAAAATTAATGGCTGACGGAAACTTTACAAAATGTTTAACGCCCGATGAAGCGGCAGCATGGCCATCATTTCGAGGTGTTGTTAACAACTTTTTAGGTAACCACAAATCCCCGGATTTCAAGCAAATCATCGGCAATTTGTTGCAATCTTATCGCAAGATTGGAGCTCGAACATCCCTCAAGATACATTTCCTGCATTCCCATCTCAATTTTTTCTCTGAAAACTTGGGCGATACGAGCGACGAGCAAGGAGAGCGGCTACACCAAGATCTTGCGAACTTCGAAAGACAATACCAAGGATTTTGATGAGCCACTACTGTTGGACTCTAATGAGTAAAACTGATCCCAAACAATATAAACGACTCAGTTCCACAGTTCTTCATTTCTGATTTGTCACTTTTAATGCATTCAATTGAAAGTGGTCAAAAATCGTAAGAAATGAATTTATTGATTATCTTGAAAACTAGAACAATCCTAAAAAACAAAGTGAAGAATCTGATTCAGCCCCCAAATTACCTTAGAAACACCTTTTGATTGCTCAGGTCCAAAACCATGTATACTTGTGATATATCGACGACTGTAAATCCATCATCCCACAATGTCCGCCAGAAGACTTGCAATAGATATTGTAATGCCAGCTACAAGGTACAAGATGATCACTTTTAACAAAGTCTTTGAGAATTCCCTGTCAAACTGTTTTTTTTTGGATTCATTCATTGATTTATTTGAATTGACTTCATTTGAGTCTATTGGTAACACCGCTTATAATTAGAGTTATTTGGATTTCCATTTATTAAAAACAAGTATGTAGAGAATTTAAATACCTTTCAAATTTTGATTTGGCGCTATCCTTGAATTTTCAAGAACCAATTCATTATCAGCAAATTTAGCGGATCTTTAAAAATGTTCAGGAGTTCTAGGTATATGTCCTCTTTATATAAAGATCAGTTAAATTCTCTATTTCCCTATTTGAAATAAAAGCCTAAATCTAGGGAAAAACTCCTTAGATCACTGATGTGCGTGACCATTATGTACAAACAGCTGTTATCTAAGGTCGGGTGTTATCTTTAACTTTTCCCACATGTGGCACTGATTTCATAGTAGAACATGTTGTGTATGATTCTAAAAGTAATTTCTGAAACTTGCGGGAGCTGATTTAAAATAACCTACCTATTAAGTACCTAAACGAGGATTTATTTCCTAATATCATTTTGCTATTATTGAGTTATATTAACCAAACATGTTATTTGAAATTAATACCTTAAAACGTGTTATTAAATCTTGTAAATAAAATATCCTTTAAGTGAAACATTAATTATTTCAATTATCCACCCTAAGTTAATTCTACACTTATGTCGTAAACTGCTTGTACTATCTGACCATATTCGACCATAAAAATACTATAAAGCTTTTTTATGATCTTATTATTTATTTTTAGTATAATTTAAACAAATTATATAAAATGACGTAATTACAAATTATCCCAATCAACAATGTTATTAAATTATTTTTTATCTTTGAAAAGTAATTGATTGATAAATTAATTGATGATAGGTAATGAGTGTAATATTGAAGGTAATCAATTATTTATTTGTGGACTTTTTATGTTTTCTTAGTTTTACCTTTCTTAATACATATAATACAGGATGTTCTAGAAAATAATGGCATCACATAAACAACAGATACTATACCTTAAGTCGATTTAACATCAGATATCTGTGGCCTCAAAAGTGACAACCTTCTACTGTTAAAAATAAATAAAAGATAAAACTGTTCTACCTCGTATTTTCTTTGTCTCTAGAATACTCCAGTATCGAGGAAAATACTAAAATCAACCATAATCATGTAACTGTAGCTACACATGGCAGTTATATGATTATACACTGAAAAGGTAATCTTTAAAATATACCCTTCTTTATTGGAAAATCAATAAATTATCATTAAAAATAAAAATGTTATAGCAATTATCTATGATCGCCGATTATGATTAAATATCTAAAAATATCCATGATTACGACTTCCAAGAAATGTTGTGCTTTGATTGACTACTAATTAATTTTAAAATGATAGTTAATTTTTCCAAAGTTTATCTTTCAATCTGTACATACAGCAGGTACGGAAGTGAACCACGGTAAAAATGTAAGACACCAGTAAGTAACAGATTTAGTTCGAAAATCTCAAGAAACTGGTTCAGTACATAATAAAAAAATTACCAACCAAGAGATCTGAAAAAGCAGCACAGATTGAAGTTCTTGGCCATTTCGCTATAGAACCGAACACCTCTAGTCCGAAAGTAGCAAAGTTCACAGTTCTGTTGGTTCAGTACATAAGGTGCTCATTGTAAATAAGTTCTTTCCTTACAAATTGCAAATTCATCAACAGCTCACTGAACATAATTATGACAGAATGACTCAATTCTGTGAGGAAATTGGTAAAAAATCAAAAATGATCCAAATTTGTTAAAATAATATTAGTTTCAACGTTGAGTCATTTTTTTTCTTCAATGGGTTTGGCAATATATAATTGTTGATACTGAATGAAAATCCACATATGTGTTTCGGGAGGACCATACACAGTTTCCTGAGAAGATCAATGTGTGGGCTGGTATTTTAGGGGACGGGATAATGTGGCCTATTTACATTGAACAAAACCTGACTGGGCAACTATATTTAGAACTCTTAAAGAAGGAGATAGACCTACTCATCATCCAATCGCCAAGAAACCAGAACAATGAAGACGGAAAGATGAGGCGCAAGGAGCACAATTTGCATGCTGTTCTTGTGAGATAATGGTTAGATGAAATATTTCCAGGGAAATGATTAGAAAGTGTTCAGGAATAGTCGGCAAGATGTCCGAATTTGGCGTTGCTTGTTTCTGTCTGTAGGGTTATTTAGAAACTCAAATTTACAAAATTCCGACAAGAAATGTTCATGATAGCTACGATAACTGGAGAATGTAGATAAATTCCCGAAACATATTTAGAAAAGTCCGGCGAGAATCCGATAATAGCCTTTACTATTTTTTAGCAAAGAATGGAGCAGATTTTGAACATTCAATAAAATAATTTTCTGCATACATAATGTAATATTTTTATACAGGGTGTTCCATAATTAAGTATTTTCCTTC